AGGCATGTACAAGAGTGTTCACTGCTGTTGGAAACCACCAGAATGTCCAGCAGCAGGGAAATTGCCCACTAAGCTATGGGGCATCCATTCTTTGGGATACTATGAAGCAGTTTGACAAAATGAGGTGGATCCATGCATACTGACCCAGAAGATTTCTAAGACACGCTGTTTAGTGAGAAGAAACAAGCAGCTTGGTAATGACATGTAGTGGATAGGATTTGTGAGGAAGAACCATATGTGTAATGTGGGGAAGGACTGGAAGCCTACATACCTGAGCATGGTGACCATGTGACCATGTGTCCCTCTTTGGAGGGCAGTAACAGTGAGGTGTAGACTGTTTTTTTGTAATGTGGATATATCATAGTTTATTTAACCACTCCCCATTGATGAACATTGGGGGTTTCCAGCCTTCCTATTACGAACAATGCCACTGCACAGATGTCTTTACATGCAGGTATATCTGTGAGATAAACTCCCAGAAACAGAACTGCTGTGTCAAAAGACAATTGCTTGGAAATCTGATAGATATCACAAAATTCCCCTCCACAGGAGTTATACCATTTTGCACCCCAATCAGTAACACAGGAATGAGATGAAATTCACATCATGTAAAAAATAAACTTTTTAAAGTGTGCAACTCTGGCATTTATTACATTCACAATGTTGTGAGGTGCAGAGACTTGCTTTGGCTGCAGTGTTTGAAAGCGGCTTACAATGGGAATACATTATATGTTTTTTTAATTAAAAATGAAAAGAAAAATAAAAGAGTTTGGGCCTCAGAGGCAGGTGGCTCTGGATCTGGATCCAGGGACTGCCCTTCACTAGTCGTGTGACCCTAGGGAAATCACTCATTCCGTGTGAGGCTCAATCCCCGCATCTTTAAGATGGAGAAAAGGAAACTTGCATGGTGGGGTGAAGGAGAGGACTCGATGCACAGACACAGGCAAGCAGCTGTCTCACCACAGCAGTGAATGCTGGTTACCTTCTCCATTGTGCACACTGGACACAAGACATTCATAGGCTCTGGCCCTAGCAGCACAGGTTCAAATCCCAGCTCCCCCTTGNTCCACTGCACTGGTGGGAAAATGGGAGGTTGGCAGGATATATGGGGTTGGTGCAGATGTGAGGAGCTGGTATGGTCTTATGCTGCTGGCCGGTGTACATCCATGCAACTTTTTGGGGGGTAGCTATTAAGATATTAAATGCACATCCTATGCCACCTGAATCCTACTTCCAGGCATCTGTTCTAAAGAAATGCTCACACCTCACAAAGAGGCATGTACAAGAGTGTTCACTGCTGTTGGAAACCACCAGAATGTCCAGCAGCAGGGAAANACACAAGACATTCATAGGCTCTGGCCCTAGCAGCACAGGTTCAAATCCCAGCTCCCCCTTGGTCTTAGGCGAGTTCCTCAACCTCTTGAGCCTTGATTTTTGCACATGTAAAATGGGGTTAAAAGGCATGGTGAGGATTAAGTAAGACAATGCATATAAAGTGTTTAAAATGTGCTGGCTACACAGTAATGCTCATGAAATGGGGGTTATTGGGGCATTTGCCAGCCTCAGCACAGGCCTGGGACCCTAGTGCCCAGTGGGGGAAGGGCCAATGAAACTGTGATGCCTGCTTCACTCTGCTCTCTGCCCCAGGGCCATCGGTGCCAACCCCCTGTACTGTGACTGCCACCTCCGCTGGCTGTCCAGCTGGGTGAAGACAGGCTACAAGGAACCGGGCATTGCCCGCTGTGCTGGACCCCCAGACATGGAGGGAAAGCTGCTCCTCACCACACCTGCCAAGAAGTTTGAATGCCAAGGTGAGCCCAGGAGTCTGAGAGAGGGGCGGTGAGTAC